AGAGCACAAGAACTCGAGGGGAGGGCGGGGGGGGGGGGGGGGCGGAATCCCATGAGCTGTGCATGGTGGTTCCTCTGGCTGGGCAAGGAAAACTATAAGGCTTGTCATCAAGTGGGTCGATAACGTAAAGGTATTTATCACAGTACTGGTCATGAATACTGGGGTTACAAGAAAGTCCCTTGTCACTGGACAACCAGAACCACTTTGGGGGCTGGAGAGGCTCCAGAGAGCTCTCAGATGTCGTGGGTTTCCAGGGTAAGCCACTGAGTGACTCAAGGAGGCTCTGCCCATCTCTGTCTTCTCTCCTGGCTGCACAGGGCAACTGATCAAGAAGTTATTAAATACATTCAGACAGAGATAAAGATTTTCAGAGGCAAGAATATTATCTCCTCATTTCTTCCTACCTGGGCATCCTGTGAGAAGCAGCAGGAGGTGCAGGACTTGGGGGGTCTGAACCCAACTCTCATGCCAGCTCGCTGTGTGGCTTTGTTATCACCAAATGCCTCAGTTTCCCTTCCCTACAATTGGGATTTATCCTTCAGAAATGCTTTGAGAGGCTCACTCAGGATGGCAGGGCAGTGCTGGAGAGAGGCACGCTTCCTTCTTTTCATTCCACCCGGGGGACTAGCACTGATGTGACCTTTCTTCCTCATGTCTGCAGAGGTGGTGGATGGTGTCCCCTTGATGACTGGACTGGGCCAGGTCTCCCAGTCCCCTAAAGGCCGCCTGAGTGCACCGCTTAATCCCAATGCCAATGCTCTCAGCTCCAGGGAAATCCGCTTCAACTGGTTTCCTCCACCGGGAAAACCTCTGGGGTACAAGGTAAGGAGGGGGGGTAGATTCCAGGGGAGGGTGTGGGTTCCACCCTGCAGATGTTTCACACACATAGTCATTTTTGCCGAAGGGATAGGGAGAAGGCACCCAAAGGAGGGAGCAAACTCACCTCTTCTGGCCCCCTCCATCCTTGAGGGACCATTGCTGGGTGGATGTGGGATTTGCAGGAAAGATTTCTGGTGGGTTCTTCATCTCCCTTTCCATCACTTACCATGAAAAACCCAGATTGTTCTGGCCTCCCATTTCAGAGGAACAACACATCACCCTGGCTTTCCCAGAGCAGACCTTACAGGAGATGGGGAACTTCTCACCCATTATGGTGAAGATATGAAGGAATCATGGCTTGTTCTTGCTTTACCAGGTGAAATACTGGATCCAAGGAGATTCTGAGTCAGACGCCCATCTTATTGATGTCAAAACAGTATCAGCAGAGCTGAGTAACCTCTATCCCTTCTGTGACTACGAGATGCAAGTCTGCGCCTACAACGCCATGGGTGAAGGGGCTTACTCCGACATCATCCACTGCCGCACGCTTGAGGATGGTGAGCAACTCTACGCTTTGCTTCCCATCATGTGGGAGCAAGTTGGTGCCTTGTGCACCCAGTATGGGGTCAGGGCTCCAGCCCTGAGCTTCTGATGGTCTTAGGGACAAGCACGGAGTGGCTCCCACTGTGATCCAGGGAGCTTTGGGCAACTGTGTGCGCTGACTCCCAACTTGCAGTAACCTGGACCCTTTGCTCTTGCCTTCCCAGTCCCCAGCGAGCCTGGTCGCTTGGCTTTCAACGTCGTGTCTTCTACTGTGACACAGCTGAGCTGGGCTGAGCCTGCAGAAACCAATGGGGAGATCACGGCTTACGAAGTCAGTTACGGACTCGTCAATGAGGACAATGGTAAGAGCTCATTCTCTGACTGGGGCAGTCCAGCCAGGCTGAGGGGCTGGAGTACACTTTCCACAGGCTGGGCCAATCCCAAGTAGTAGCAGAACCAGAATGGTTCCAGGCACGTTTCTTGTGAAAACTGGAACCTAGAGGGGTCACTTCCTTATGGAAGGAGTACATAAAAATCACTATTTGGGATTTAATCCTGAAAAGCCTGGAGCACTCTCAGTTCCCATTCACTTCCATAGTGTTTTGTGTTGGTTTTCATCTTAAAAACTTATCACAGAATCATAGAATCATACGATGGTTTGGGTTGGAAGGGACCTTAAAGATCATCTAGTTCCAACCCCCCTGCCCTGGGCAGGGACACCTCCCACTCGACCAGGTTGCCCAAAGCCCCATCCAGCCTGGCCTTGAACACCTCCAGGGATGGGGCATCCATGACCTCCCTGGGCAACCTGTTCCAGTGTCTCACCACCCTCACTGTAAAGAATTTCTTAGTTCATATGTCTAGACCTAGCGCTAGGGTGCCATGAATATGCTGTTTGGTGACACACCAGCAACAGGAGACATTTGCTGTAGGTCAACTTCAGCATTCAGTTTGGGAATTTCCCCAAGACGATGTCATGCCTGTTGTGAGCAGCCCAAATAGCTGCTGCACCTTGTCCCAGAGCCAGGCTGTGTCCTCACACCAAACCTCAGCAAGCTTGTTGGCCAAGGGTGGGGTGCTGTGAGGTCCTCTGTGTCTTCTGGCCTTGTGGGTGATAGACGTACCCATATTTGCAGCATTCATTGGCCCATTGAAGAAGGTACTAGTTGAAGACCCAAAGAAGCGCATGGTGCTGATAGAAAACCTACGGGAGTCCCAGCCCTATTGCTACATGGTGAAGGCCAGAAATGGTGCTGGCTGGGGACCTGAGAGAGAAGCCACCATCAACCTTGCTACGCAGCCCAAGCGCCCAATGTCCAGTGAGTAACTGCCCTGCCTGGGTGGAGGGGGGGTGGGGAAGGAGCAGAGTTGGGGAGCATTTCCCATCACCCCAGTTGCTTGTCCACATCCTGCTCGCTCTGTAGCACCAGCCACCCTGGTGAATGCTGAAGACCAGCCTGAGCGTGGGAGGCCTGTGTGGTTTTGAGCTGCTTGTCTAATGGCACTTTTCACCTCTTCTTCAGTCCCCATCATCCCTGATGTCCCCATCATTGATGCAGAGGGAGGTGAGGACTACGACAGCTACTTGATGTACAGCGCAGATGTGCTTCGCTCCCCAGCGGGCAGCAAGCATCCCAGTGTCTCTGACGATTCAGGTATGTTGCTCTGAATTTTGCAAAGGTCATTTTTAACATTCCTTTTCCTTAACAACAGCTTTCAGCAATGAGCTTCACTGCTCCTTTCCTCCTCGTGGAGATCCAAGTCATGGAGATGGTGACCAGCCTTTCCAAAGCACAGTAGCTGCATCCATGGGAACACTTAACTAGTGATAGTCTAAATAAGACCGGTACCTCCTTGTCTAAGCCACAAGGCAAAGAGAAATCTCAGCGTGGGCTGGGAGAGGAGCTTTTCATGGCCCTCCCTGCTCATCTTCCCTTCCTGTTGCCATTTGGCTGGACCAGGAGATTTACTGTCAGCAAACAAGCCCTGGCAAGGCACAGACCTCTGAGTCCCTTGGATGCTCAGCGTCTTGGCCAAGCCAACAGGAAGGAACTCACCAAGCGCTGAGAAAGCACTGGCCTCTTCCTCCATCACTTCACTCTCTGAGTGAGGCTGGCCCACTTGTCTTCTACTGGGACGAGGAGGGGAAGATGGGCCATAAGTGAAATGATGAGGCTTGTCAATAGGATCTGGAGGGCACTAGGATCTCCTGAGCAGAGGACAATTGTCACAGATTCTTCATGATGGGGACAGGCGTGTGGTGGGACTTTGACTCTCATCATTTGTCATGATGGACACAGGGCTGGAAAACAGCCCTGGGGTTGAGGAACCCCTACATGTCGTGTTCCCAGCATTCTCCATCTACCAGTCACACAGTGGTTGCACTGGCTGAACTCATCAGCCAACACTTGATGAAACGGGCTGTGAATGGGTGTCATTCCCATTGGCGCCTGCCCTTTCCCCTCCCCAGCAAGAGCACAAAACCAGTGGGTAGCCCACTCTGTCCCCTGCAGATCATGCCAACACCAGTGCTTGCATTGTCCCAAAAGGCTCCAGGTGGAAATATGTGCAGTTGCTGGGAGAAGACCTGGATCTTCGCCGCATCACCTGGAAGCTCCCACCTGAAACCATTCCCCGCCTCTCTGGCAGCAGCCGCCTCTCCTCGGACACGGAGGGCCTCCTCCATGAGGAGGACAGTGACGTGGCTACTGGCAGCCTGAGGAGGAGCGGGACACCCCGACCCCAAGCAGGTGAAGGACGGCTTCGTTACAGCACTGAGTGTCCTGTCTCGTCCTGCTCTGCGCCAAGGGGACCAGTACATGTCCCCTTCCTCTCCTTGTGTGCCCATCCTTGTGTTGGCGTGATGCACTCACTGTTCACATGATGTAGTCTGCTTCAAAACCTTGTCCTGGTGTGTCTCCTCACAAGAGTGTCAAGGTAACCCCCATCTCGGCAAGGACTTGGGAGCCTGCTAGCAAGTTGTCTCTACAAAAGGCTGGACCTTCAAGGCAGGAGCAAACTCAGATGACACCTGCTAAGTGCCACCTCCAAGGGCAGCTCCTCACCTTAATTAAAAGTGCCCCGAACTGCTAGGGCAGACCTGCTGGACTGTTAAACAGAAATCCCTCTCTCCTGGGTAGCTGATCTCTCCTGGCCTGCTGGGAAGGGATGGGGCTTTGTCCAGGACCAGAACAACGGATCAGAGTTTGCTTTTCAGAACCAGCTGAGACGGGATCCAGAGTGAGATTTGGAGAAACCACCTCCATAAAGAGCTGTTTTTCTTCCACTTTCTTTTTTAATCTGAAATTATAAACCTGTGCTTGCGTCAAAGGAGAGATGTAAGGGAACATGGTGAGAACCACAAGGCAGTGCCCCAGCAAGGCCGAGGTCTGGAGTTACCTTGGGCACCATGGGTGTCTCTGGTGCTGGGAGTAGAACAAAGTCTCTGTTTACCCGTTTGTTTCCTTGTCATTGCGTTGGGTGGTTGTGGCTTGTTTTAGATGTAGTGCTCCAGAATGACCTTCCAGAGGCTGAAGCTGGGATGCAGCCAAGGCAGGACACATCATGATGCCTCCTGTTTTCTCCCCACGGAAACTGGAGCAACAGCCCTGTCCACAGTCACATTCCTCACAGTGTGCTCTCTTTTACAGAGCACTTGCTGAATGGCCGGGTGGACTTCTCCTTCCCTGGCAGTGGCAGTGGCACACTGACGAGGACAACTAACAGCAGCTACCACCAACTGAGCTCACACATGCAGCAGGAGCACAGGGTGATGGGGAGCTCCTCACTGACAAGAGACTACTCCACGATGCTAATGGGGCACGGTGAGTACTGTCGAGATGTGACCTGTCCTTCCCTTTCACCCCCAGGGCTGTTTTCAAACCCATGCCCTGCAAGTCCTGTTGGGGTGAGGACTGTGGTCATGGCTAGGGGGGCCCATGAACAAGAGATCCAGAAGGTCAAGTCCTCATCACTGACCTGTAGGTGCTTTGCTAAGGCCACCCTGCTCCCAAGCCAGTTTGGAAAGCGTTCCCATACCTCACATGCAGAGTGCATGGGAAAGGGAGCTGCATCCTTATCCTCACACTGCAAAGATCTCCAGAAAGAGCACATGTGTCTTCTTCTAACTCTATCTCGTGGCATGGTTGCCTTTCAGCTCTACAGAAGGTTGTTAAAAAGCTCTTCAAATCTGAGCCTTAAAAAGTCATCTCTGCAGGAGCCAGCACCTGGGCTGAACCTGCTCTGAAGTCTCCAATGGTGTTTTTCTCTTCTTTTGCACTGCTTCTGTAGATTACCCAGGGAGATTCCTCCCTCCCATCCATGAAGATGCTGGGAGGACAATCCCACGGCCCCGGGATGTGGGTTTCAGGAGCAGGGTAAAGGTGAAGGGTTACTACCCCAGCACTGGCTTTCGGGACTCTATAATCATGACTGATGGGTCCGCAGGGATTTGCAAGTACATAGGTACAGCTTTGTCCAGTGTCTCCTCCCAGCCATGCATCCCATAACAGCCAAGTCACCGATCATCCATGAGCTGTTACCATTCACTGCTGCCCCTAAACCCACTCTCCATGGCTTGCTGTGTGCCACACTGATTTTCCTCTTGGCCCGGACTGTGCATCCATCACACCACCTTTCCATTTGCAGGTGACTCCAGCTGTGTTTCAACCCACCTGGGCTGATTAACACTCACCACCGCTGCCACCGTGCTCTAACGGGCTCATCAGCTCATTGACCCCATCCTCTTTGCTCCTAACAAGCTTGTTGTTCTCAGTCTTACCCCACAGGCCTTTGGAGAACTCTTGGGGAGAACGTGTGCTCCATACAAGATGTCCCTCTGCAAGCTCTTTGGCCAAAGCCCATGTCAATGAGGGGCTTCAGTCCCTGAGTGTCACCTGGGAGGCTCCTGCGTTCACCATGAGGCTTGTGTCCCAGCAGGCTGAGCTGGGGGGAAATGAGAGCACCCAGGCCTCATCCCACCTACCTCCTTGAACAGTCCCTGGAGGTGTTGGGTTGCTTTAGCAATAGACTAGGGCCAGTCTTAACTGAGCAACATCTGAAGATGTCTGTGAAGTTTCTGGCAGACCAAATGGGGTGCTTCAGGTTTGATGAGGAGGGCCACACACAGCATCTGAGCACCTGCTCTGGTCTCTCTACCAAAGGGGCACGAAGCTACCTTGACTTGCCCCACCCAAGGGTGGCACCCCAGGCCACGGGACGTCACTGTAGGTGTGTAGAGCCAGCCAATCCTCCCTTGTGATGGGCCAGCTTGCAAAGTCGACATCTTGCCACATTCTCCCCAGACCATCAGGACCATCCCACGTTTGCACGGGCCACTCCCTCCTCTCCCCCAGCTCCCTTAACCCCCAGTCTCCAAATCTCCACCCTGACATTGCCTTTTTGTCTCAGACTCCAGGCTGCCACTGGGCATCCCTGACACCCCCACACGTTTGGTGTTCTCTGCCCTGGGACCCACCTCCCTGAAGGTGAGCTGGCAGGAGCCGCACTGCGAGAAGGAGGTGCAGGGCTACAGCGTGCAGTACCAGCTCCTCAATGGAGGTCAGTGAACAAGCGGTGGGTGCCCACCAGGTAGTTGGTGGTGGGAGTTTCTGGTGGTGGAAAGTGTGGCTCAGGTCTTCTCCTGGGAAACTTGGGTTAACCCTGCCTGAGCAGGGTGTGTTGGATTAGATGACCTCCAGAGGTCCCTTCCAACCTCAACCAACTGATTCCAACTCTGTTTTTTGTTCAGCCTTGAGAAAATGTCTCAGCTACCCCACAGCACTCATTCCCCATTTCTGCTGGGGGTGACAATTCCTGGGCTGTTTGTGGAGTCACTCCTCCTTCAAAAAACCTTGGATTCTTCTCCAGCAGCCCTAACATCTTAGTTGAAGGATTTTTCATCAAGTTGGACTTGAAGGAAGGATTGCAATGAAAATCTCTTATTTTTACATGAAACTTGGGACAGTGTTAGTGAAAATATAATTCTCTTCAGCTGAAAATTCCTGAGATTTCAAGCAGCTGTTGTTTGTCCCAAGCCTTTTTTGGAACAACATCTCGTCCTGCACTAGCAGATTTTAGTAGCAAGGTGTGATGGAGGTGACTGGGGAAGGGCCCCTGGATAACTTTTCCAGGCAGCTTATTTGAGGTAGAGTTTAGGTGAAAGCCACAGAGCTCTCTTCTTGCCTGCAACATGGTACTGATGTTCCCCTTCCCTGTGCGATCTAGGAGAGGTGCACCGACTCACCATTGCCAACCCCTGCCAGAACTCGGTGGTGGTGGAGGACCTGCTGCCCAACCACTCCTACATCTTCAAGGTGAAGGCACAGAGCGAGGAAGGCTGGGGCCCCGAGAGGGAAGGAGTCATCACCATAGAGTCCCAGGTGGACCCGCAAAGCCCACTCAGCCCCGTACCAGGTGAGGTGGATGGGGGAAAGGTGGCACTGATGTCTTTGCTGCTCTCTACAGTGGTGGCTTTGCTGTTTTCTCACTCCTTATTACGTTCTGAGCTCTCCTTTCTTTCCTTCCATTTTGAAATAGGACCTTCTTCCCCATGCACTCACCTTCATCCACTAGCTGTCTATATAGCTGAGATCTTCCAGCTTGTTTCATAAATACTGCATGCAGACCCCTCCCAGGCTCCTCCTCACCAGCTTCTGTGACACTGACCTCTTGCTTGTGCCCCTGCAGGTTCACCCTTTACACTGAGCACACCCAGTGCTCCTGGACCACTGGTTTTCACTGCCCTCAGCTCTGACTCCCTGCAGCTCAGCTGGGAGAGACCCCGCAAGCCCAATGGGTCCATCTTGGGCTACATGGTCACCTGCGAGATGCTGCATGGAGGAGGTATGGTATCAGGCCGGTTCCCTGTGTAGAGCACAAGATACCTCCAGCAAAGGCAGCAACTTGCTTGAGATGCTGCATGGAGGAGGTACAGTATCAGGCCGTGGAAGACCGGTTCCCTGTGTAGAGCACAAGATACCTCCAGCAAAGGCAGCAACTTGCTGCATTTTTGCTGGGACCAACAACAAAGCTGTCTGCTTACATCGGTGCAGACAAACTGGGGACATGAGGCTGATTCCAGACCTGGAAGCTGCTGAGCCCCAATGCTTTGTGACATTGCATGGCCTGGTGTAACGAATGCGGTGGGAGGAGGAAGGATCCATAGCTTATTACATCCCAAACCCAGTGGAGGTTTGTTGAGGATCAACACTATGCTAAAATAGCCCTGTCTTAACCCGTAATAGAACTGGGTGGTGTGAGTGGAACAGGCTGCCCAGGGAGGTCGTGGAGTCCCCTTCTCTGGAGATCTTCAAGACCCGCCTGGATGCAGTCCTGAGTAATGTGCTCTAGGTGTTCCTGCTTTAGCAGGGGAGTTGGACCAGGTGATCTCTAGAGGTCCCTTCCAACTCTGACAATTCTGTGATTCTGTGAGTGTACAGTCTGCGGGTGGCATAAAGCTTAGGGAAAACCAAGACACCATCCAGAGTTGGGGGGAGTGTGTTTGGAGAGACTATCATTCCTGTCTGTCTTCACCACTGGTATGTCTGTGTTGATTAGGGGAGCCCAGGAATATCTATGTTGAAGGAGACAATCCGGAAACTACCCTTACTGTGCCCCACCTGAGTGAGAACATCGCATACAAGTTCAAAGTGCAAGCCAAGACCACCCAAGGCTTTGGGCCAGAGAGAGAAGGCATCATCACCATCGAATCTCAGGATGGAGGTACAGTGCCATGGCTTTATGGAGTTGGAAAGATAAGGAACGTCTCAGAGCAGGGAACACAACTGCTGGAGTCCCCTTCCAGCTCTGGTGGTCACTCCATTTTCCATGAAAGACACAGAGACATTGTCTTCCATGAAGGCAATGCTGTGCCTTCTCAGCACTGTCCCAATCCTGATGCTCTGAATGAGGGAGGATCATAAGAACTTTCTAGTGTTTAATTTATTATGACATTTCTATCTTATGCTTTGTTGTACACATATGTGGAAGCAGCTTCTTACGCTGCACATGTGTAGGACCTTTCCAGTCCTCCCAGTTTCTCCTAAACCTGTCTCTGATGTCAGCAAGAGAAACCTACTGAGCTGACTGTTGGTGCTCACTGTGCAGGATTGAGGGGTTGGAAACCTCCTTGTTGTTTCCCGGCTGACTTGTCCCTTTTCCTTCTCCCCAGGCACTTTCTTGTTGTTTCCCGGCTGACCTGTCCCTTTTCCTTCTCCCCAGGCACTTTCTCCCAGTTTGGAGGACAGCAGTACATGAGAGAAGAAGTGTACAACTTCCCCACCGAATACACCACCAAAACCAGCATCACCCATTCCTCCCTGGATCCCCACTTCACAGGTAGGGGCTCACTGTCTGGTCTGAAACCCTTGGTAAGCAAAGGATAACGCTGCTTGTCCAAAGGTCAAAGGTGGGGAGGGAGGGTCCATCAGGTGGGACGGATGAAGAGGACCAGACCTTTTCCTACACCGTGTCCCTGCTCTGCCCTCTGCAAGGTTAGATCTCATCAGAGCAGGAAAAAACACGGAAGTGTGATGACTGTATTTAATTACATCAGTCTAGTTGTCCCATGTTGTCCCCCTTGAGTTCAAGGACTCACTGCAATACAAAGAGTTTGGGAACTGTTAGGAAATAGTCACATAGCAAAGTACCAAATCACTTGATCTGGAGAGGTTTTCCATCGGGGAAAGTGGTATTGAAGGAGGAACCTCTGCCAGGAATCATCAGGTAGAGCAGACCCTATTCCCTGTGACCCTGTACTTCGCGCGGTGTCCTGACCACTGAGCTTCTCGCTGCAGATGGCATGTTGATGACGACCCAGCAAGTGGAAAGCGCCAGCAGCACCCTCACCAAACAGGTCACCAAAGAGTTTGTGAGCCGGACAGTGATGTCCAGCGGGACCCTCACCAAACAGATGGAGAGGCAGTTCTACGAGGCCTGAGGCAGGACAGGCCACCTGCCAGCAGGATGCTGACGTTCAGGTGGCATGATTTTGTGGAATGATCCAAGGGTGCTTCATCCAGATGCTGCCACGGTGCCTGGGCAGCTCCTCCTGTGGGCATTCCTCCATGGCACTTCAAGCTCTGGACCTCTCCTTTGGAACCCAGCACACTCCAAGCTCCAGTACAGTTGGGTCACCAGGTGTGTGCTCATCCTTCAGGGCTTGTTCACCCTGTCCTGCTCTCCAGAGACTCAGTTCTGCAGAGTCCGCAGGGATGTCTTCCATGAACAATCACTGCTCACTCCAATACCAGTCTTCAACGCCCATCTCCACCCAAATACACCTGCAACTGCAGAAATTCAGGTGTCTCGATGGCTCCAGCCTCCCCAGATAAACGGAATGGAATGATTTATTCTCAGGTCCTCTGTTTCGAGAGGATCCCAGCTGACAACATCCTGAGTGATTGAGGGTCATCGTTTCCATCTTTGCTTTGGGCAACTTGGCTGCCCGCTGGGGGTGGTGATTTGTTCTGTTTGGTGTTTTATGAGAGCTGCAAGGTGGGGGGTTGGGGTAACCTGCGCTTTCTTCCTGCACCTATTTGTGTCTATTCTTCGCTGCTAACATTGGGTACCAGGATAGCAAAGTATAACCTTTCATTTGTATAGCCTTACTCGTGATGGCCTCCGAAGCATTTTTATTTGCATACAATATTGTACAGTTTTCGTAGTATATATATAAATATATATAAATGTATTTTATTATTTTATAAAAAAAAAAAAAGAGGTGTATGAGATCTATGCTGAATATTGAGGCTACACTGGGACTGTGTCTGCTGAGAAATGGGAATAACTGGAAGGAATTAGTTAACAGCTTAATCCAAAGGCTACTAAACCCTGTGGAAAGCCTGTTGATGAGTTGGTGGGCTCTCTCTTGGGCTTTATCCCCCAGCACTGGAGGCTCCAGCAGAAGGTTCCCTGCACAGCAACCCCCAGCCAAGCAGTCTCCAGCCACAGCACAGACACAGCCGGGCTGGGAGCTGCTGGGGATGGTCTGGGCAGTGGTGCCTGGAGATGGGAATGGTTCTTGGGATTTCTTACAAGGCTGACGTGGAGAGCACGAGATTTTGGGGGGCAGAAGATGTCGGGTATCTTTTAAAAGCCCTTTTGCCCAACAGCAACGTCCATAAAGGGAGCTGTGATGCCTCAATAAACACAAGGGAGGAGCAAGCCTGGGGAACAGCGGGTGCTCTCATCATCCCGAGTGAGCCTCTGAGCCTCCTTCAGCCCTCGGCTCTCACTGTCCTTGGATGGTGCTGGGTGCAGGGCTGAGCTGAGACCTTGCTGGGCCTGGTTTCCTGGCTCTGGGCATGATGCCTGCCATCTCGCTGCCCTCTGCCAGCGGGAACAATTGGGATCTGTGTCTTGCTGACCAGCCCGTTTCCCTGGTGTGCTTCAGCTGCACGGGAGCCGGCGAGGAGCCTGCCCAAAGCAAGGATCCCACCCAAAGCAGCAGCTGCCACCGTTCTGGATTAGAGCTTCCAACCAAAACAGCAGCTGCCTGGTCTCCTGGGCACCATCGCCTGCCTGATTTGATCTGACACTGGACCTTGGCTGTTGTGTTCTTTTTCTGTTGTTGTTGGGGTTTTTTTTTGTTTGGTTGCTGGATATTTTTTTTTGACTTGGAAGATTGTCCAGCACTGACACCACTGAGAGCTCCCTCTCCTCTCCGGGCTGTTCTCTCGAGTGGGATGAGTTGTACATGTTTGAGCCAAAGATGCACAGGGGTGACTAAAGTCCCCTGGAGTCTCCAGGGCTGCAGCTGGAGCAAGGTTGAACTTGAAGCAGCTTTTGACCCACCGCTGTGGTTCTTCTGTGCCTTCAAGAAGCACTCATTTTTCCTGAGCAAGTACCAGTGGCATTAACCTGCCTCCCCGTTCCCATCTCACCTTTGTGATGGGGGTTTCCTCTCCAGCTGATGTATCTACTCCTGCACAAGGACTCCAGGCTCCACTCCCTGTGCTTTGTGGTCCAGGGTAAAACGCTGACAACCACCCAAAAAGGGAGCCCCACTTCCAAGCATTTTAACCAAAGACTACCCTGTTATCCAAGCACAGATCTGCTCTCCAGGGTGTCACACCACCCCCACGCACAAGGTGGCTGTGCCCCTAACCCATGCCTCGCGCTAGAACAGCATCACTTCTTAATTTTCATCTGGTCCTTAGGGCTGGTGGTGGTTCAGTCTTTCCAAGGGTGGATCCAGCAGCCTGCTCTGACAGCGGGTCTCTGATCAGATGGTTTCCTATTGCACTCAATAAATGTCTTCTCTACAGTCTGCCTCTTCCCTTTTCTTAAAACAAAATAAAAAATAAAATTCTTCCCCCCCCTCCATCTGCAGCAGCAGATGAAGGATACAGATGAAGAAGCAGATACCCAGGCAGGGGCTTCTGCCAAGCATCAGTGCCTGCTGCTGCTCCACTGCCATCCCCTCCTCAACCTGCAGCTCCAGAGGCTCTACTGGACCCCAAATCCCCAGTAATGGCTCATTACACCAGTGCAAACTGGAGTTAAACCAGCCTCCTCTGGGGAAAGGTCCCCAGTGACCTCGGCATCAGAGCTCTGCTCAGGTGGGCACAGAATGAATGCGCAAATGTTTTGTGTTTATTAGGCAAACGATGCAGGCAGACAAATTGGTTCCCTTGTGAAGCGAGGAAAGCAGCTGCTCCTTGGAGGAAGGTGATCCCCGCCCAGACCGAGGTGGTTGCTCCTCTACAGGGGCAGCACCTGTGCCCCTGCGGAGGGTTTGGTGAGGTAGAAGGTGGCTGTGCCGCTGTACTGCTCCTAGGAGACAAGAGGAGCAGGTAAGTGGTGGTGCTGCAGCCAGAGCCTGGGCTGGGGGATGCTTTTGGGGCTGGTACAGGCAAGACCTGCCAGAGCTGGAGCCTTGCTGGTCACCCCAGCCATGCATCTGGCCCAGCTGCCTCTCAAGATGTTTTTTTGGGGGACAGCACACTGTCCTGGCCACTGCCTGGGGTCCCTTGGTCCATCCACAGCACGGGGCAGGGAAAGTATCAACACATGCCCAAGCTGAGCCTCCAGCAGACGGCAGAGACACAGCCCTTTGGGTCTCTCCTCGTTTCAGACACCTCCCTCTGCCCCTGCTTTATCCCCCCCACATTATTTACAGGGCACACCACAATCTCATATAGCAGCAAACTGAGGCTCTGCCTCATTCACTGCCCCCGTCTCCTGGCACCCCCATTTTGCTGGTGGTTTCAGCTACCAGCAGAGTTTGAGCACTGATGACAGCACTGAGATCTTTCCTGGGCTGTAACTGCGGGGTGAAGCTCAGCGTTTCCCTAAGCTCAGCTTGGATTACTTTCCTCTAGACAGATTTAGCCTTCCTGCAGCTCACCCAGCACCTTTTTGCTCACTTTCTCAGCGCAGTAAGGTCCTTGGGCAGTGCTCTGCCATCAGCATGATGCTGAGCTGCCTGCAAGAGCTTGGCCACACCAACCCCGAGAGCCTCAGGAGCACAGCTCCAACAGCGTTCCCCAGGCCATGCCCCTGAGTGTTTCCTTGGGATCTTTAAGACAATCTCCCAGCACATTTCTGCCACGTACCTGGATGTGCTGCTGGGCTCTCTCTGCAGCGCTGGCCTCCAGCAATGTCACCGTGCAACCTCCAAAGCCTCCCCCGGTCATCCTGCTGCCGTAAACCCCATCGACCTCCAGAGCTGCTGCTACCAGCTGGTCCAGCTCTGGGCAGCTCACTTCATAGTCATCCCTGCAGAGAGGAGAACCATGGTCAGCCCTGTCCTACACCCTAGGCACGATCCTTGCACCGCAGAGACACTGAAATGTGTCTTGGTGCATCCATTGCCTAGCAAACTAGTGGCTGGAGAGCTGCCTGGCAGAAAAGGACCTGGGGGTGTTGGTTGACTGTCGGCTGAACATGAGCCAGCAGTGTGCCCAGGTGGCCAAGAAGGCCGGCAGCATTGTGGCCTGTGTCAGGAACAGTGTGGTGAGTAGGACCCAAGAGGTGATCATCCCCCTGTACTGGGCACTGGTGAGGCTCCACCTCAAGTGCTGTGTCCAGTTTTGGGCCCCTTACCACAAAAAAGACATGGAGGAGCTGGAGCAGGTCCAGAGAAGGGCAACGGAGCTGGTGAGGGGTCTGGAGCACAAGTCTTACGAGGAGCAGCTGAGGGAGCTGGGGGTGTTCAGCCTGGAGAAGAGGAGGCTGAGGGGAGACCTTCTTGCTCTCTACAACTCCCTGAAAGGAGGGTGTAGCCAAGGGGGGGTCGGTCTCTTCTCCCAAGTCACAGGTGAAAGCACAAGAGGAAATGGCCTCAAGTTGCGCCGGGGAAGGTTCAGATTGGAGATCAGGAAAAATGTTTACACGGAAAGGGTTATTAAGCCTTGGAATGGGCTGCCCAGGGAAGTGGTTGAGGCACCATCCCTGGAGGTGTTTAAAAGACAGGTTGACACAGTGCTTAGAGACATAGTTTAGTGATGTGGGGGGGTTTTTGTATGATTTTCTTTCGGTGGTTTGTTTTTTTTTTTAATCAGAGTTAGGATTTTCTTTCGGTGTGTTTTTTTTTTTTTTAAATCAGAATTAGGTTGATGGTTGGACTTAATGCAGGATGTCACAGCTGCCTATAATTGCACGTATACATGAGTGAGATTGTGAGCATCAGGGCCCTGCTGGGCACTGCTGTAAGCAGCACGTGTCTGTAGGGTATGTGACCAGTTGCCTCATCCCATCCCCTACCCCCTGCCAGCGCAGAAGCCTGTGGGGCTTTTCCTAAAACTCCCCAGCAGGCTAAAGGCCCCTTCCAGCCTAGACAATTCTATAATTTTAAACTGCAGCAATGCAGGATGTCACAGCTGCCTATAAGTGCTCGTATACATGAGTGTTTGTGAGCATCAGGAACCTGCTGGGCACTGCTGTAAGCAGCACGTGTCTGTAGGGTATGTGACCAGTTGCCTCATCCCATCCCCTACCCCCTGCCAGCGCAGAAGCCTGTGGGGCTTTTCCTAAAACTCCCCAGCAGGCTGAGCCATGAGAGACACCGGGCAGGACGCAGCTCTGCCTGCCCCTGGTGCTGCACCCACGGGCAAGGGAACCCCATGAGAACCTGACATCAGTGCCCCCAAACAGCCTGCCCTGCCCAGGGGTAGTCCAGCCTCACCTGAGGGAGTTGTGACTCTCCACCATCAGCCTCCCAAATGTCTTGTAGTCCTTGTTCTGCAGTGCTTTGGCTGCCTGGACTGTCCGTGCTATCTCACTGATGACGTGCCTGGCCCGCCGGTACACCTCCTCGCCCAGCCGGCTCCTGGCCGCTGTGGAGATACACACATCCTTGCAGTGAAGCTGCTCTAGCCCGGGGGCGAGCACGGCTTCATCCTGCAACCCCACTTCTCCACTCATGGCATGCTCCTGTCCCGGTGCCTGCATCCACCCATCCACCCCAGGTGCTGCCCTGCAGGCTCAGCCCATGCCATGGGGCACCCCGAGCTCCTGCTGCCCCGAGGAGCGGTCAGAGCCAAGGGAGGGACCGTCCCCACCTTCCAGCTCAGCCATGGTGGCATCTCGCAGGCTGGCCTTGCCGAGCGCCGCCGCTGCCTCCTCGCACTGCCGCCGGCGCGTGGGGTACTCGCTGCCCGTCAGTGTGTGCCGCACGTTGGAGTTGGTGACGAGGACGACCAAGCTGGCATCGGTCAGCGGGATGAGGACGGTCTCCAGGGACCTGCAGCAAGAGCTCAACATGGGCAATGTGTCCCCCCCCCCCGCTGTCTGCTCCAGCCATCGGCCATCCGAGCGAGAGTGACGTGGCAGGCAGCTCCTGCCTCCCCAGAGGCAAAGTCCACGTAGTTTAGGATTTCACTCAAGCGTTTCACTCCCAATTATTCGTCCCATAATGGACCCTAACGACTTTGCAGAAAAGCCAGCCCAGGCAAGTAGCAGCCAGGATGCAGGAGGAGGAATCAAAGACACAGGAATGAAAACGCATGGATCCCCAGCCCCACAATGAGCTTTTGGGCTGGGTTCAGGGGTTAACCCTTCCCTGCATTTATTTCATGGCCAGGGGACCAACTCGTCCCCAGCTGCCCGAGGATGTGAGCATGGCACAGCCAGCTCAGTGCTCAGCCCTGACCTGCAGTCAATGAGCAGTGCGTGGCCTTCCTTGCCCATCACGGATATGAACTGGTCCATGATCCCACAGGGCATGTTGGCAAACGTGTGCTCCGCTTTCTGGCACGCCAGCGCCTTGGCTTCCAAATCACTGTCATCTGTGCCAGAGCAGAGAGAGGCAGGTTAGCAGCTCTGGGACCTTTGCCCCTTGTCCTGGAGCAGGGGGAGTGAACAGGAAGGTAAAGGGTTGCTTTCCCATAGAATGGGGTTTTGCTACAGCATCAGCTGCAGGTGCTTGCTCCTCCACCAGCCCACGGCACCCGTGCCAGCGTGGGTCCCCGGATCCAGCTGGATGCAATAATTTGGCGCTGATGTCTCAGATTTTTGGGGACATGAGGGTGGGGAGTAGATGCTCCCAAGGGACCATCCTCTCATCCCCAATGATCCAGGTCAGGCTGGGTAAGCCAGAGGAGCCCTGCACCGCAGCGATGCCAGCTCCAGCTGCGACCAAGGGTTGTGACCCACCCCACAGTGGCATTTCCTCGAGAACCGCAGGATCTTGCTAAGGACACCCCCCTCATCCTGGCTCCCAGTGGGGAATGGAGCCACCAGAACTGGCTGTTGCCTTACCAGGAGAGAGCTGCTGGAGGAAGGTGTAAGTAGCCACCTCCAGCGCAGCCGAGCTGGAGAGACCCCCACCCAGGGGGACGTCACTGGCTATCACAGCGCTGAAGCCCGGCACGGGACCACCTGCAGGAACAGAAGGGAGAAGGGGGGCCATGAGGGGCTGCTGTGCCCCACAGCTCATGGGGAACCAGCTCCCGACACAGAAACCCCTGTCTGCTACCCCATTTTAAAACGCAGGGTGATCCGTGGCAGAGTGTGACCCGAGGATCTCCCCAAAAACAGAGGGGTCTTTGGAGCTGAAAGTGTTTCAGCTGGAGCCTGGTCCCAGTAGTGGCTGTGGGATTGCACCAGCACTGGAAGAGCCCCTGGAGCACGCCGAAACCATGGTGCCCAGCACCGGCCCCACACGAGGGGGGCTCTAACCCACCCAGCAGCCTGGGCCTTACCCCGGTAGTGCTGGATGACGCCCTTGATGTAGTTGGCCCAGCCTGGCTTCCCTGGGATCAGAGAGCTGCCTTGGTGGGGAGCCGGGAACTCCACCCTGTGGGGCTTGTCCGCCTCCACCGAGGTGGTGAGGATGTAGATGGTCCCGTCCGTCGTGGGGGATCCCACCAGCACCGTCCCCAGCTGCAGGGCCTGGGGGAGGAAGAGGGAAGGTGAGCTGGGACTCTGTGGCATCCCTTGGAGCATCCCCTCTGGTGGCAGGGGACAGCTGTGACTGCACCCAACACATGTTACCCTTAACTCTGCCCCCGTGGAGCCACCAGATGCCACTGGATGCTCCGGCTTGTCACAGCATTGGGTCTTCTGGCTACTTAATGCCACACAGGGTCAGTCTTAGCACCGAAATGTTGTGACTGACCAGCCCAGCTCAGCGCCGGGGTGTGGGCTGGCTGGGCTCTGGGGGAGTAAAAACCCATGACAAGGATGTGAGAGGCTTCAGGAAGTTGTCTTGCCTGCTGGGGAATTCAGCTGACCTGCTCCCACACTCCTTGCCCTCAAAATAATTAGCTGTAGGTTTGATTTAGGACTGAGCAGGGGCTCTCGCACCAAGCCTGGAGGAGGGCAGGAAGCCCCAGCTGCTTAGAACCATCTCTGCCACCAAAACATCGCTCTCCAGGCACAGGAAATTGTTTCTTGGGTCACAGAAAGGAGGTTTCAGCCCCTCGAAGAGGGGGAATCACATCCCCCCTGCAGTGAGTTAGGGATGAGGGGTGCTGTCCCCAGTGCTCCCGCAGTCCCGGGTGCGGAGGGGGATCCCGGGGAATCCCGCAGGGTCCTGGGCGAGGGAATCCAGGGAGGGAGAACGGGGGACCCCAAGGGACCTTGCAGGGTCCTGGGCCAGGGATCCCGAGGGGACATCCTGGGGCAGGCGGGGGGAGAGGGCGGGCGGGGACCCCCGGAGGTTGCAGGGGGGACGCGGAAGGGTGACACCGAGCCATCACGGGGCCGGGGCGGCGGAGCACGGCCCTTACCATGGGCAGCACGAAACCCTCGTTGTAGTCGGTGTGCTCGCCGATGAGGTTGACCCGGCCGGGGGCCCACACCGCCAGCACGGCCGCCCGCCCGAAAGTAACTTGGTGCACACGGCAAGCGGTCTCCAGCAACGGGGCTACCCCGGGCTCCGCCATGGCCGCTCCGCTCCGCCCCGCACCGCCCCGCACCGCCCCCGCTCCTGCGCCGCCCTCCTCCGCCGGCGACCGGGCTCCAACTCGGGGTCCCGCGGAGCTGGGGGGGAGCTGTTCCCGGTCTACGCAGCCCCTTCCCGCCGGCCGTGAGCTCTCCCCGGCTGTGGCCTCGGGGGCGCCGGTCCCCCTTTATGTGTGCGTGTCGTTTTATGACGATTCTGGGATTCTAGAAGCGAGGGCCCAGTCCCGGGAGGCTTAAGTCCGTGTCTCTGTACCCACTGCCCTGTCCCGCCGGCTGCCTTGTCCTAAAATATGGAATCACAGAATGGTTTGGGTTGGAAGGGACCGTAAAGACCATCCGGGTCCACCACCACCCTGGGCAGGGACACCTCCCACCAGACCAGGTTGCTCCAAGCCCCCTCCAACCTGGCCTTGAACCCCTCCAGGGATGGGGCAGCCACAGCTTCTCTGGGCAACCTGGGCCAGGCTCTCACCACCCTCAGAGTGAAAAATTTCTTCCTAGTATCATATCTAAATCTCCCCTTTTCCAGTCCAAAGCCATTACCCCTCATCCTATCACTACATGCCCTGGTATAAAGTCCCTCCCCAGCTCTCCTGTAGCCCCCTTCAGATATTGGAAGGGGCTCTAAGGTCTCCCCGGAGCCTTCTCTTCTCCAGGTTGAACCCCCCAACTCTCTCAGCCTGTCCTCACAGCAGAGGGGCTCCAGCCCTCAGAACATCTTTGTGGCCTCCTCTGGACCTGCTCCAACAGGTCCGTGTCCTTCTTGTGCTGAGGACTCCAGAGCTGGTGGCAGCACTGCAGGTGGGGTCTCGCAGGAGTGGAGTAGAGGGGCAGAATGACCTCCTGGTACATGGGCAGATACATATCATAGAATCATAGAATGATTTGGGTTGGAAGGGACCTTCAATGACCATCTTGTCCAATGCCCTACCACGAGCAGGGACACCTCCCACCACACCAGGTTGCTCAAAGCCCCCTCCAACCTGGCCTTGAACCCCTCCAGGGATGGGGCAGCCACAGTTTCCCTGGGCAACCTGGGCCAGTGTCTCACCACCTTCATAATGAAGAATTTCTTCCTTATGTCCAATCTAAATTTACTCTCTTTCGGTTTAAAACCATTGTCCCTTGTCCTGTCACTACAGACCTTGGTAAAAAGTCTAGAATAGAGTCATAGAACCATCCAAGTTGGAAAAGACTCTCAGGATCATTGAGTCCAACCATCTCGCCTACTCTACAAAGTTCTCCCCTACACCATATCCCCCAACAGCACATCTAAACGACTCTTAAACTCATCCAAGGATGGTGACACAACCACCCCCCTGGGCAGCCTGTTCCAGTCTCTGACCACTCTTTCTGTGAAGAGTTTCTTCCTCATGTCTAGTCTAAACCTACCCTGTTGCAGCTTGAAGCCATTCCCTCTTGTTCTATCACTAATCACCTGTGAGAAGAGACCAGCACCAACCTCTCTACAGTGTCCTTTCAAGTAGTTGCAGAGAGTGATGAGGTCACCCCTCATCCTCAAACTAAACTAACCAGTCCCAGCTCCTTCAATCGCTCTTCGTACGATTTCACAGAATCACAGAATCTTCTAGGTTGGAAGGGACCTTAAAGATCATCTTGTCCAACTGTCAACCTAACTGACAAAAATAGACCCCCCCTCAACAAACAAGGAGTAACATCACTAAACCATACTTCCCAGCACTACATCAACCCATCTTTTGAACACCTCCAGGGATGGTGCCTTAACCCCCTCCCTGGGCAGCCCATTCCAATGGCTGAGAACCCTTTCAGTGAAAAAAATTTTCCTAATATCCAGCCTGAACCTCCCCTGGCGTAACTTGAGGCCATTTCCTCTCATCCTGTCGCCTGTGACTTGAGAAAAGAGACCGACCCCCACCTCTCTACACCCTCCTTTCAGGGAGTTGTAGAGAGCAATAAGGTCTCCCCTCAGCCTCCTCTTCTCCAGGCTGATTTGTTGTCCAAGCCCTTCACCAGCTCCATCACCCTCCTCTTCCCCCTCTCCAGCACCTCTCTTGGATTGAGGTGCCCCAAACTGGCCACGATACTCCAGGTGTGGCCTCCCCAGTGCTGAGGACGGGTGGGCAATCACCTCCCTACTTCTGCTGGCCACACCATTTCTAATCCAAGCCAAAATGCCGTTGGCTTCCTTGCCCACCATAGCGTTCTATGCCAAGGTATGGTAGCTATACGTTACACAGATACCTGTGCAGGCACCACCGGCTGTGTCACACCGGTAGGGGTGCCCGGCCCGCAGGCAGCCACCGGTGGGTGTGAGCCGGGAGGTTTAACCCCCCCTCCCCGCGGGGCCGGGCCGTTGCGCTCCCGGGGCGGGGCCGGTTCCCGGTTCCCACCTGGAGCCGCCGCCGCCGCGGGACCACCCTGTCCGGGGAGGGGGCGAGCCAATGGCCAGGAAAGAACCTCTGCTGAGCGCCCTTAAAGGTGAGCGTGGTCGCCCTCCGGGGGCTGGTACTCGCCTCCTTCGGTGGCCCCCACCCTTCGCTGCGCACCGGTACCGGTTTGACCGGATGGACGGCGGGGCCGGGCAGGGCGAGGGCTCCCGGGGGCCACCGTGGCAGGGCCAGCCCCACCGTGGCAGGACCAGCCCCACCGCCTGACCTTGGCTTTGAGGAAGTTTCCCGGAGCCCCTGCCCGCTGCGGTGGGGGGGGGGTGGCACCCGGGGGGGTGGCACCCTGCAGGGTGTGGGGGCACCCATGGGTGCTAATGCTCCCCCCCCTTCCCCTCCACACACGCACAGATGGGGTGCTGAGGCTGCGGGAGAGCGGGGGGCCCTGCACGGACACCTCCCCACACCTCATCTCCTTCTGCCAGCTGCTGGAGAGCATCCTGCGCAAGGGGCTACGGCGTGAGTAGACCTTTGTGATGGGGGGGTTGGAGGGGGCTAAGGGGGGGAGCAGCCTCCCAGAGGAGCCTCATGTTCCCTTTTTCCTGCAGAGCCAACCTGGGGCTTCAGGAGACGGGATTACTGGCACTGGGTAGAGCAGCTTCCCACTGGGGACAGGTGAGCAGCCCCAAGCCGGGCTGGGGGTGACAATCTGAGCCACGGGGGTGTCCATCGTGATGTGCTTATCCCAAAGATCCTGGGTGAGGGGAGGGTGATCCCACATCTACCTGAAAGGAGGGTGTAGAGAGGTGGGGGTCTGTCTCTTCTCCCAAGTAACAGCGATAGGACAAGAGGAAACGGCCTCAAGTTGCACCAGGGGAGGTTTAGGATGGATATTAGGATGATTCAAGGATTGGAGCATCTCCCTTATGAAGAAAGACTGAAAGAGCTGGGACTCTTTAGTCCGGAGAAGAGAAGGCTGAGGGGAGACCTTATTAATGCTGACAAGTATCTCAAGGGAGGGTTGAAGGAGGAGGGAGCCAGACTCTTTTCAGTGGTTCCCAGTGAGAGGACGAGGGGCAACGGGCACATGTTGGAACAGAAGAGGTTCCACTCAAATATGAGAAAAAAATTCTTCACAGTGAGGGTGACAGAGCTCTGGAACAGGCTGCCCAGAGAGTGTGTGGAGTCCCCTTCTTTGGAGACTTTCAAGACCTGCCTGGATGCCACCCTGAGTAACATGCTCTGACAAGCTCTAGGCAATCCTGCTTCAGCAGGGGAGTTGGACTAGATGATCTCTGTGGTCCCTTCCAACTCTAAAAAATTCAGTGAAATTCAGTGAAATTAGGAAACATTTCTTCACCAAAAGAGCTATCAAGCATGGGAACAGGCTGCCTAGGCAAGTGGTGGAATCACCACCCCTGGAGGTATTTGAAGGATGGGTAGATGTGGTGTTAAGGGACATGGTTTAGAGGGGGTTTTAGCAGTTAATGGCTGGACTTGATGATCTTAGAGGTCCCTTCCAACCTACATGATTTTATGTTCTGAGTGGCTTCCCTTCTCCCCAACCAGGCCGACCCCTCTCTCCATCAGCATCCAGAAAGCCGGTGGCTGTGGGAGGACCCGGACGGTGCAGGGCCGCGGGCGGTACTTTCTGCGCTTGGCTCTGCAGGGGAAGGTGCTGGAGGTGGCCGTGAGGCAGCTGGTGCAGACCCCCCGGCTCCTGGAGGTGCAGCTCACGGTGGGGACCCCCGCTTACCCCCCCGGGCAGCGAAACGGCAGCGTTAACGGGGGTGTTTCTCTGCGTTTCAGTTCTACGATCCGGTGAGCTCCATCCTTGGCAATGAAGACCTCCTGGGTGAGATGGGGGCTCCTCCAAGGTGGGATGTAACCTGCCCTGGGGGTGGCTGCCACAGGTGTTACAGCCCCACATTGCTGGGGTGGGGGGAGAAAAATAGTCCATTGTCATTTTTCTGAGCCAAACATAGCGGTAAAATCTGAATATGCTGCTGCAGTGATGGAAAAAGAGGTGTAAATATTTAAACACAGTTTGAATCCGTCTAAGGTCGATTTGGGTGTCACGGGGTAGGAAAATTGCTTCTGAAGTGTTTTTCGTGTCACTTCTTTGCACCAAGGGTGCTGGTTGAAGTGTCCCCAGCAGCCTGGCTTCGAGGGGACCCCTTGGTGGCTGGGACAGGCTGTGGTCCCACCGAAGGGGTCACAGGGGGGGTTTGGTGCTGTAAATGGCAGCTTTTCCTCGACAGCCTGCACCATTCCACCCACAGCCATGCTCCTTAGGCAGTGGGAGGGTGGCAGGCCAGGGTGAAAGCCTTTAATCTTTTGATTATGATAAATAAGGCCATGTTAAAGCCGTGCCTGGATGGCTTGTAAATCACCCTCGCTGCCGGTGCCCGAGCAGATTGCAGATCTCCGACAGCATAATTGCAAGGCTCGTGCGGGAGAGCCGGAGCAGCTTTGCTTTGTGTTTAGAAGGAGAAATGGAGAGAAAGTTGCTCATGAGCAGCCTTTGCTGCCAGCCTCGGGCTGAATTTGGGGAAATCAAGCATCGAGCCGCAGCATTTGTCTCCCCGTGCCGGCAGCGGGAGCCCGGGATGAGCCTCCAGCAGCAGCCTGGGTGCCGCGGTGCTGGGATGCTCTCAGGGCCTGGCTCTCCAGGATTCATTAATTATGCCCCAAATGGCTTTATTCAGACCTCTGCCACGTCCCTACGAGGCTGTAGTTGCCGGGAACACGGTGGTGACTCTTCTTCTCCATCCCCATCCCTCCACAGAGCCCTTCCTCTCGCTGCTGCTGGTGGTGACAGAGGTGGATTTCTCCCTGGACCTGCAGGTAGGGTGACAAATGGGCAGGGTGGTGGCTGGCACACGGCTGCCAGCGCGGTGTCCCAGCCCCTTCCTCGCCGGGACCGATGGGGCTGACACTCCTTTGTTTGCAGAACTGCAGCTTCTTGGACGAAAGCTGGCTGCTGCCGGTAAGAGCTCATCTCTCCCCAGAGCCGTCCTTCCGCCACCTGGCCCTCACTGAGAGCTCAAATGAGGAAAATACGGCAGGATTTGGTGGGGAGGGATTGCCATGCAACCACCCGCAGCCAGGGGCGACTTGGCAGGAGCAGAGCCACCTCTGCCACCTCGGCTGGATCCTGCTGGGTGCCCGCGCTGCCACCGGGAGCAGATCCCAGCAATCCTGGGAGTAAAACCAAGCAAGAGTAGTACCCAGGCCTAAAATTATTGACATAAATCAAGCTTTCCCCGTGCTCCTTCCCCTGATTCCTTGCCAAAGAGTCGCCATTTCCCTGGGCTGACACAGATTCCGTGTCAGTTGGTTTTGCTCAGTGAAATCCCGAGGCGTTTATCGAGAGCAGCGGGGATGCCTTGATGTCTTTTAAAAACGAAGAGCATCCCTCCGCTGCCTTTTTTTTAACCCAAAAGAATCCCCCCCCCAAAAAAAAAGCTCAAGGCGACTTTGGGGCTGGTTACAGCGTGCTGTTGCTGAGGTTGGAATCCCGCTGGCTTTTTGGGCATTTCCAGCAGCCAGTGCTCCCAGCCGAGCTGGCCGCGTTCCGGGTCCCTGGCTAATGCGATGTGACAGTAAGTGCTGCTGCGAGCAGCCGTGGCTCTGGGGAGGGGGCATCAGCGCTCCCCCCGCTGCATGGGGACGCGTGGGGTGAGGGAGGAGGGCTCATCGCTGAGTTAAGGCTTCATCTGCTGCTTTGCCATCCCATCCATCTGGCAAGTTTGTCCCTCCAGGGTCCGGGCACAGCCAAATCCCGGGAGGGGACAGGGGCAAGCAGCTTCTGATGGTCCCAGCCCAGCCTGGGGCGCTGGGGACCAGCCTCTCCCTGGGCTCTCAGAGCCCTGGTTTGGCACCAGTGCCAGGAATGATCCATGTTAAGGGGTCTCCATCCTCCCTCTCATCCTGGACGTGCTCCTTGGGTGTCCTGTGGCCATTGTCACCGGCTGCTCTCTTCCAGGTGTGCATCACTTATGAGACGGTCCCGTGCCGAGCGTTGGGGATGGTGCTCAGGTAGGAGCCCTGGATCCTCCTCTCCAGCAGGATCTGGACACCACGGCACTCAAGCTCCCCCCCCACGGGGAGACACCCCATTGAGAGCATCAGGGCTCTTGGGTGCTTTCTCTCCCCATTCACTCAGCCTCGCTGGTATCTGCTGTCCGTGGGGTGGCTTTTCCCTGCCTCTGTGTATCGGTGAAACATCACTGGTGGTACAGAAAGGCTGGGGGAGCTGGGCTGGGTCCCCAGGGCTGAGCCAGGGCTTGGCTGCCCCCCCAGGTATGTGGATGGCCGAGTGTTTGTCACCAAGGTGCTCCCCGAGAGCCAGGCGGCGGTGGATGAGGTGGTGCTGGCCGGTGACATCCTCGATGAGATCAACGGCTACTCCCTGAGAAACGCCTACAGCGGGCAGGTGGGTGGGCACAGTGGGGTGGCATGTGTCACGGTCATGTCCTCCCCACCACGTTCCCTTTTCCTACTCCTCATCCTCCCCTTTGCTTCTTCTCTCCAGGCTGGAGATGTGCTGCAGAAGCTGAAGGGCCAACCGCTCAGCTTCCACCTGCTGCGGTGGCGGTGGCACGATGGGGAGGTCTACGAGCCACTGCTGCCCTACCTAAAGGTCCTGAAGGAGAAGGAGCCCCACTTCCAGCTCCAGTGCAGCCCCCGGCGCCAGGGTGAGGGGGAGCAACGGAGGCTGCAGGGGGGCAGGTAGGTTCAGTATCATGGGGAGCCCCCAGGCTGGGTTGGGGGTCCCAGCTTCGGGCCAGCCCCATGCCCACACTGTTGCCAGTCTCTGCTTAAGGCTGTGGGGTCAAAGCTGTCCCCATGGCCTGGGGGCGGTGGAGGGGGCTGTGAGCATCTTCCCCTGCAAAGAGCAGCAGGAGGATGCGTGGGGTCCTTGCTCTGATGCCCCCGAGGCCTTTTCTCCCCAGGCTGCTCTACAACCTGCGGTACCTGGGTCGGACCAGCGTTGGGAAGGTGAGGTTGATGGGACGAAGACATGCCCATGAGGTACATACATTGGCTCTTCTGGGTTTCTTTTCGCCTGCCCGTGAGTTATTCCTTCCTTCCCACTCCGTTTCAGTACGGTGGCAAAGAGGTGCTGGACCGGGCCATCCCTGCCGTGCTGGAGGGGCACCGGGCAGCGCGGGTGAGTGATGGGGCTGGGGGCATCCCGGGAAGGGCTTGGTGAGAAAACTCCAAGGAAATATGATCTTTGGCCGGCTCCAGGTTCGCTTGGCCCTGCTGAGTGTTTGACACCCCAACCCCCCCTGTCCCTGGGGGGTATTTTTTTCTTTTTCCTGCTTAGAAGCATCTCTGCAGCCAGGAGAGGAAAGAGCGTTAAGGAAAAAAAAAAAAAATAAATACAACCACCTGCAGGAAAGCACTTGGAAAACTGCAGGGAGGCTCAGCCTGGTCCCAGGGGTGCTGCAGGGCTGGGGATGCTGTCACTTGAGCCTTTGGGGGGTTGTTTGTGAAAATCTTTGAGTGTGAGAGCACTGGATGGTGGAAAAAAAAAAAAGGCAGCACAGAGAAAACTTGTTGAAAAAGCTGCACTTTATCTCCTCTGTTTCTGGATAATCTCTCTCTTGTAAGTGTCTTATTAAAAATGGAGCTCAGACGCTGTGATGATCAGGGCTTTTCCCCCCCTCCATCCCCCATTCAGGAGGTTTTATTTGATGTGAGGGAAGCAGAAGTCCTCGTACAGGAGAAGACCTCTTCCAAGGTGAGCGAGTGACACCCGAGCTCCGGGTGACTCCCGAGGCTGCTGCTCTCCCGGCACGGGGAGCCCGGCTGGAGGGCTTCGGGGGCCAGTTTAAAGCAGGAACTGGGACAACAGGGACTGACTGTAGCCCCCAACACCATCTCCCTCCTGTCCCCTGCACAGGTCCTGTGGCGCTACCCCTACCCCACCATCTCCTGCGTGGGACGCTGCTTGGACAGGAGCAATTTATTTGCCTTCTGCGTGGCGTAAGTGCTGCCCGTGGGCCCTGGGGGGGGTGGGATATAGAGGGATGTGGGGCTTAGAAGATAAACAAGTGACATCCAGACCTGCCGCGGGGTCTCTGGTGTGGTTACGAGCCAGGGCTGGGCTTCCAGAGCCGCTCTCTCTGCCGGGTAATGTGCGTGTTTCCATTTTTAGCACTTCCCCCGGGAGCCCTGACGGGAGCACGTTCGAGTGCCTGGTGTTTGCATCCAGTTCGGAGCAGGAATGCGAAGAAATCATCAAGAGAATTGGTAAGGGAAGGGATTATGTCTTCAGGTACCGTCACAGCGAGCTCGTAGAACACAAGAATTGTTATTCTGGTCCACTCCATGCAAGATCTAACTTATTTTTTACTAAGACAAACAGATGCTTTGATATGGTTTTGTGGTGTTTTTTGGTGTCTTGGTTTTTTTTTTTTTTTGGTGGTTTGTTTTTTTGTTTTGGTTTGTTGTTTTGTTTTGGTTTTTTTTAAAGAGCTGCTAGACAATGATTTTATTTTAAGAAACAGCTTCTAGGCATACCCAGATGGTTCATTGTTTCCACTAAGAACTTGGAGGAAACCTTGTTTTCGAGGGATGTTATTTTAAAACATACTTTTCCTGCAGGAGCCCAGCCTGCTACTGCAGCTGAGCACCACCTCCAGCCTTCATAAATTCCCATCACTTGGAATTCTTAGTCTATTTTCTTTTAACCTGCCTAGATGCGTGGTGCTTCCCCATTTACGTGGCTCCCGGGCCACCGAGGAGCCCTCAGGTTTCTTGTGGGGACATCCCTGCCCCGTGAAGCTGCGTGGCGCTTCCCCATTTATGTGGCTCCCGGGCCACAGGTTTCTTGTGGGGACATCCCTGCCCCGTGTCCCCTCAGTGCCCACCTGGGATCACTTGGTGCCAACCAAAGCTGATGAGACGGCGCTTAACGTTAAAGCAATTAAGTTTACAATTTGGCTGCAAGGAAATCTTTCCCCCTACTGGTTTAGTGAGGAGGAGAATACTTTTTTAAAAACCTCATTTTAGATCATTTTAGAACGCGTTTTTTAGCAGCTCTGTGGCAGATACAATGGCATCAACCGGGGGTTGCGTTTTTTCCGCGCGGCGCAGGGAAGGGCGGTGAGGAAGTTGTGTAAGAGCCGGGGGTAAGGAGCGTCTGTTCCTCCAGCTGCAGGATTTAAACACACGGAGTGGTTTGTCTGAGAAGGAAGAGCCCTGGCTCCGGCCCCGGAGCTTCCCTGGACTGCGCCCGGGCCACCCGGCAGCACCCCCAGGGATGCAGCACCTCCAGGGATGCTCAGCAGGACCCTCAGGGATGCAGGACCCCAAAGGACACTCAGCAGAACCACCAGGGATGCTCAACAGGACCCCCAGGGATGCAGGACCCCAAAGATGCTCGCTAGCAACCCACGTATGCAGCACCCCCAGAGATGCTCTGCAAGACCCCCAGGGATGCAGCACCCCCAAAGGACACTTGGCAGCACCCCCAGAGATGCAGCACCCTGAAGGACATGGGGCAGGACCCCCAGAGATGCTCTGCAGGACCCAGGGATGCAGCACCCCCAAAGGACACTCAGCAGCACCCCCAGGGATGCAACACCTCCAGAGATACTCAACAGCACCCCAAAGGACACTGGGCAGGACCCCTAGGGATGCAGCACCCCCAGAGATGCTCAGCAGCAGCCCACGTATGCAGCACCCTAAAGGATGCTCTGCAGCACCCCCAGGGATGCAGGACCCCAAAGGACACTCAGCTGGACCACCAGAGATGCTCTGCAGCACCCCCAGGGATGCAGCACCCCAAAGGACACTGGGCAGCACCCCCAGGGAGGATCGGCAGCACCCCCAGGGACAATGTCCCCAACCCCCAGAGCAGGAGCCAGGCTGGATTTCACACCACCCCCAGGCCACGCTGGTGGAAGGAGCTGGGAAGGTGTCCAGCCCCTGGTGCCTCATCACCCACCGCCCGGTGTGAGCCCCCTGACCCTTTTCCCTCCCAGATGCCACCACCCTTCAAATTCCATTGCAATAAATCAAGCCGGGCTCGCTCTGCTCCCTCCCTGTGCTCCTTCTCTCTTGCCAACTCGAGCAGCCTGTTCTTTAGGAGCCCGGCAATTCAATTTAAATGTTAATTACCTGTGTTTCAGATGTAGTCTGAGCAGCTCTCCTCAACCCCAACCCAAGGGGGCCCAGAGGCAGAGCCGAGGAAGCCAGACCGGTCTCAGCCCAGGCCCTGAAGACTCGTTCTCCACTGAAGGTTTGAGCATAATCCGGTTTCATCAAAAAAAGCTTAAGATGGGAAATGCGACTCTCAGGGAGCGCCCGTTCCAGTTTGCTCAGCAGCCCCATCTGCTCTCAGGCTGTATAATTAGCTTTTCCCCTCAGCTGGCTGCTGTTATTAACTGGGGCTTAGTCACCCAGCCAGGTCCCACAGAAACTGGTGGGCCCCAGCCCCACACACACACCAAGCTGGGTGGTTTCGCTTCAGGCAGCCCAGTCGCACCACCACAAATACAACACTCTTCCTCTGCACCTACTGGGAAAGAGGAGGAAAAACCACCCAGCTTAATAGCTCCTGAACAGCTGACACTGATAAGCAGTTAAGCTTTATTAAAAAGAAAACAACCCAAACCAAAAACAAGCAACAACCCAGAGGTTACTCCTCTGCCCCCACAGCTGCAGGGCTCAGCTCTGCTCTCACTGGCCAAAAGCGATGAGTCAAACTAAAGAAAATCTCCAAAAAGCTCCGAGGGTGGCCAGGGCAGCAGGCAAAAACAGGCTGCAGGACTAGAGGCACCTACTGCTACAGCTACAGGAGGAGGAAGCTTCTTCAAGCCCATATAAACCAAATGACAAAGACTCCTCACATGTGAATGTAAAACATTTAATTTAAAAATGTTGACACTACAATATATAAAATAGCTATTATAAATGCACATAGTGTATTCTATAGCTGCCAGGTTTACTTTTTTTTTTTTTTAGGAAACTGTAAGTTACACTGTGGTTAAGACTTGTAGTTTCACCCTCTGAAAAAGTCCACATTTGATCACAGTGATGTATGGTCAGACTAACAGCCCCAATTGTTAAACACTTGGATCAAGTCATAACCAGTTTTATTGCAAAAGGACCCTGTACACATTTATATCAATTCTAGTACCTTACAAGTTTAGCTACCCAACAAGTCATTAACATACAGAAACATGCATGAGAAGCAAGAAAGATCACCCATCCCCTTCTGCATATTAGCAACTTGTCACTCCTGAGCAACAAGGCTCACATCACTGAGGTTTATGTGAACAGTCACTTTTAGCATTCATCCTGAGTGAAAGATGGAATGACTTAAGTACAAATGCAACATATTATAAACAATTTCTTACAAAAAAGTCACAAATTAAAACCAAAGTATTTTACAGAATTTACTACAAAACACCATAAAAACAGCCTTCACTTAAGCCCTCTCGCCCCGTATCCTGCGAGCCAACTGGATATCTTTGGGCATGATGGTGACTCTCTTGGCATGGATGGCGCACAGGTTTGTATCTTCAAACAGACCCACCAGATATGCTTCGCTGGCCTCCTGTTTCAAGAGCACAAGAAGAAAGGTCGTTAGAAACCCTCAGCGAAGCACCCTCAGCGCCGCGAGCGCCCCAGGCCCAGCAGCAGGCCGCCAGCAATACCTGCAGCGCACCGATGGCTGCACTCTGGAACCTCAAGTCTGTTTTGAAGTCTTGGGCGATTTCTCTGACCAGCCGCTGGAAGGGCAGCTTGCGGATCAGCAGCTCCGTCGACTTCTGGTAGCGACGGATCTCACGGAGGGCGACGGTGCCCGGCCTGGTTGGAGGAGGAAGGAGGGAGCGGGTGAGGCGGGGCGGGGGCTGCGGCAATGCCGGGCCGGGCCGTGCCGTGCCGGCGGCCTTACCTGTAGCGGTGAGGCTTCTTGACGCCGCCGGTAGAGGGGGCGCTTTTCCGGGCCGCCTTAGTGGCCAGCTGCTTGCGCGGAGCCTTCCCCCCGGTGGACTTACGGGCAGTCTGCTTTGTACGGGCCATTTTTCTTCACTTACCTACAGAGAACAAGCAGGCTTGACACGAGGCCCTGCTCTCCCCTACCTCGCACCGACACGACCCCCCAGGCCTGACGACACCGTGTGCCGTGTCGTCCCGTCCCCCCACCGTCCAATCCCCTCCAGCCCTAGAAGCGGCAGATGTCGGCGAGCTGCCCCCCTCCCCCGCCGCTGAGGCGGGCAGGCGGCCAGCGGCCTCCCCCGGGAGGGAGAGGGAGGGGGTGGTGGGGGGAGGAAAGGAGGAGTCATGCTTCCCCCCCCTCCGCCCCCGCTTCAGCGTTCGTGGCCCGG